ATGGTTAGGCAGAGCGAGAATGAGCCAGTAGCGAGAGGGAGAAACGGTGGTTGTAGAGGGTTGTAGATAGGTAGGTAGGTAGATATTTAGGTAGGTAGGTAGGTAGGTAGGTAGGTAGGTAGGTAGATATTTAGGTGGGTAGGTGGGTAGGTAGATAGGTAGGTAGGTGGGTAGCTAGGTAGGTGGGTAGGTAGGTAGGTAGGTAGATAGGTAGGTGGGTAGGTAGGTAGGTAGGTAGATAGGTAGGTAGGTAGGTAGGTAGGTAGGTAGGTAGGTAGGTAGGTAGGTAGGTAGGTAGGTAGGTAGGTAGGTAGGGTAAAAGGAGATAGGCGAAGGGTACAGGTGGCGAAGGAGGGTTGGCCGGTGAGTGTGGGAAAGCGTGTAGCCTCTACCTCCTCCCTTTTCCGCCCACCCGGCCACCCTTCTGCCAGCTTGCTGCTCGGTCCAAAGGGGTGGCAGGAGGGACCAGAGGGGCAGGAAAAAGGGAACTAGAGCTGGCCGTCGGGGGGGTGCCGGGAAGGGGTTGTCGCACGCCTATCCGCTCGATAGCAGCTTTCAGTCCGTGCACGTTTACTACCCCGTACAACTTTGTGCTCCATCTTTTCGAGATTCTCCGCTCTAGACGGATTCGTTCCATTCTTCCGAACGGTGCCACACTCTCTTTCGCCGCTGTAAGATTCGCGAGATCACGCTGTACCGTAACGCGCCGCGCCGCGCCGCGCCACACTGATCGAACCAGCCGCTCGATGAATTTGCCGCGACGCGAAACCGATTTCCCCTCCTTTCCGATCGAATAGCTTTCCGGAGAAACGGAGAACGCTTTCCTCGTGCAATTGTCACCAGAGACCGTAGAAAAATCAGGCGACCGGGATTCTTAGGAGAGTGTCATTAGACGCGTCTAGGGTTAATACGTGCTTGCTCGCAAATTGTGGCAGTTGGATGCTTCCCGGGAACGTAACGATAGAAAGGAGAGCATCGCGGTACACTCGACGGTTTCCTAGGTCTCCGTGAACCTGGGTCTTCGTCCTGGAAAACCCTGAAAATTGATTTTCCAGGCGCGGTCTCCCGCGATACCCACGCACTGGTCTGCCCCCCTCCCTCTATCTCTCTCTCTCCTCTCTCGGTTGCATCGATTTTCACCTGGCTCTCCTCGCATCCCCTGCAGCGAACTCGAACCAGCCGTTCATTCAGAATCGGAGGGAAAGAACGAGAAATCTGGGTCAACGAAATTTCGAGAATCCCGGACAGATCGTAGAACGAACGAATACACTCCCTCCCGGTGGGAGATTTTCGATTTTTCCACCCGTCCCTCCTCGTCTCGTCGAGAAACGGACACGAGTACGCCGAATTACGGGTCGCACCAGCCATGAAACTCGAGTAGGAGGGAAAAGGCAATAGGGCGCGGATAGTCCTATTGCGTTTGCGAAAGTCGGGAAAGGAGTTAAGTCGGTCGAACAGAGGGAGGAGAACCGAAACTCTTTCGACTTTGAAAGTTTCGAGGGTTGGAAGATATTTAGGAAAGCCACGCGGAAGATCGGTAAACTGAGGTTTGCTCTACTTTCGCGATTACGCAGGTCCATCGTTTGCGTGCGTCTGCTCTAAACTAAACACGCTTGCAATCGTTGCGCCGTTTACGTCGTTTCATGCTGGATCGCGAACGTATCCAAGTGTAGCAACGGAAAACGAAAATGATAAAAGTTTGAGGGACCGATAAGGTAGGGTAGGGTAGAGTAGGGTAGGGTAGGGTAGAGTAGGGTAGGGTAGGGTAGGGTAGGGTAAGGTAACGAGCGACGTGGAAAGGTCGAGGGAAGTCAAGTTGGGTTAGGTTAGCGGCGTGAACGAGAAGGAAGGGTCGCGTTTCGCTTCGATAAAGTTTGTTCGATCGGCCGTTAGTCCTGTTCGCTGAGGCCAGCGGGTAAGGCTTGCCGCGGCGCTCCTCGTCCCTCGGGGGATCCACGAGTAGAGGAGTAACGTCCGCGGTAAGCCAAGGAGTTTTTCCAAAGCGAGAGAAAGAGTTATCCCTCCCTGTTCATCCCGTGTCGGCAGTTTAAGAGCGGACGAACGCGCGTTCTGCACGGTGGAAAGCGTGCAACGGCGCCGGCAGACGAGCGTTTAACTTTGTTCCGAAGTTCTCCAAGGTCGTGTGGTACGGCTGTAGGTCGGTGGTGCAAGAGGAGGAGAGACCGGGAGGACAAGAGGGAGAGAATTTCCGAGGCCGCGTCATAAATCTCTATCTGGTGGCAGCGGCGGCGGCAGTGGTGGTGGTCGCGATGGTGGTGGTGGTGCTGCCGCCAGCGGGGGTAAACGCTCGCGGGATATACTTCGGCGACGTCTGTAATTTCCCGCCATCAGACCTTTCTCTCGCTTGCTCGTGCATTCGCGTTCCCGCCTCCTTTATTTTTCTACCCCTCCCCTTTCCTCCTCCCTATTCTTCCGGCCCGCGTATTCGCAATTTATTTTCCTCGTCTTCCGAACGCCGAACCATTCTCGCCGTCTACGCGTCGACGAGGCTGATTTTAACCATTTTATAGCGGGAATTTCACGCTAATTCTGTTTCCGCGAACGAGCGAAAGAAACCGATTTACGAGTGAACTTTAGAGAGGAAAGTAAAAAGAGTCGTCGAAACCTGACCCAGACCTATTTAATCCGTTAAACGGTACGCTTTGTAACACCTGCTGCACCACTGGCTATCGCTACCACCGCTGACAAGCAGTTTCTCTAAATTGGTAGGAAAGAGGTGGAAAAGGAGAAATGCGAGGATTAGAAGAGGAGGGCGGTAATTACGTTTCGAACGTAACGCGAGATCTCGTTTCGGCCTGCTGGTGAAATGTCGCGGGAACGTAAATAAACCGTCCTCAATTAAGATGGTGAAAAGGGAACGAACGGTTTAACCTTGTATAGTATACCATGCCGGCCGCCGCGCGTATCGTCGAACGTGCTTTTTATTCCGTTTCGTTGAGGACGCGCGCGCCGCGCCGACCAATTTATCGTCTCGAGTTTACGGAACGCAACTACAAAGTTCCAGACAGTTTGTCGACAATGTTTGACCCAGACCCATTGAAATTCCCCTCTTCTCCTCTCCCAGCCGTGTAAATGTCGGTCGAACTTAACGACTCGAAGGTACTTGGCGCGCTTCCCGCTTCCCGCTGGAAAGCACACCGCCAATCTTCCTCCCCTTCCGATCTTTTTAACCCCATCGATTAAACGACTTTTCTTTCTCCCCAGGGAAGTGTTTGCACCTCAGCGGGCTGACACCCGAACCATTGACGGCGGATGACGACTACAAGCTCTTGCGCTTCGGCATCGGTTTCACGAATATGGTGGCTCGCGCCACTAAAGGCAGCGCTGATCTTACGAGGAAAGAAATCAAAGAAGGTCAGTAGGAAAGGGAACGGCGAAGATAAAAGCGGCGGACGGGACGGACTCTCTTACGTTTCACCGTACACACACGCGTAGAGATATAGCTCGTTGGTGCGCGACGAAACAAACGAATCCTGCCCCTCCCGACGAATTTCCGTTGGAAATTTTCGAAACTTGAAATTGAACGCGATACGAGATACGAGACACGGGACACGACTGGTTGTTAATTAAAGACTCGCGAAATAACGTTCGCGCGTAACGTTGTCGATTCGGGAAGGCAAGCTCGACTTGCGCGCGTAACAGATGTACGATGATTCCGATGTTAGGATGCGTGTGCACTACGCTACGCTCACGCTCACGCTCACGCACACGCACACGCACACGCACACGCACACGCACACGCACACGCACACGCACCTATATTCGAATATGTAACGGTGGCGCGGCAAAATTGTCAACGTACCGTGCACACATGGGCCGCAAAAACCAGTCCATTTTAGACAGAAAGGGACGCGTTTTAACGCGTACTCGGTTGTTCGGACCAGACGGATCGACGAGTGTAGTTTTCAACGCTCGATTTATCGTATTTGCCGGTTCGTTCGCCGACAACCGATTTTTCCCACCGATAGTACCCGATCGAACAAGCTACACACACCAGTATACCACCGGAGAGATCGCGAATCGACGGTACAAAGTTGCTCGATGAGACGCGTATCGCGGTTCACTTATTTGCTTCCTCGCTTATCTCAATTCTCTTGTACCGCGGTCTATGTAAATTTTACTTTCTTTTTCCTTATTTCGTTTCGATAAATTGACTTTCGCACCAGGCCGATATATGTACGTATATTTGTTTCGACTCTTGAAATAAAATGGCCTATCTTAACGTTTGAACAAGCATTCTTGGCCGACGCGATACCAGATCAAAGGAACGGATTTCGAGAAACGGTTACCCGATCGCGTGTGATTTACGCGTCGGAGAGGGGAAGAGGATACCGCCACGTTAAAACGACGACGAAACGATTTATTTCTTCGCGACCAAAAGGATACAATGTAACGAATTTTCCCCCACTGGACGCGAACGGCAGAAGATAATTCTTATTTTCGCGCATCCTGCTTTTCGTCCAAACGATATTTCTTTCCCTCTTTGTAAACGCGTCGAGAATTCTACACGAGTAGAGAGAAGAGAGAGGAGAGCTTTACGTGAAGTGGTTATTTTTTTCATAAAAGCACATATGCATGCGTATTGAAACACCGCATCGCTCGAATGCGGCGCTCGAAGATTTAACCTCGAGGAATAACGCGAAGAACGAAACGAGACGAAACGAGACGAAACGAGACGAAAGGAAAATGTCGAACGTAATATATCGATAAACGTCGGTTTACTTACCGTCTCTGGATATCTGCCAGCCAGCGCAACGGCGACAAGTTAAGACCAAGACCCACCGAATCAACCAACCAGCTATAGGATGCTGTAATCACTACACCACAAACATTCCTTACTTACTCACTAACCGGTTAAAACGGTCGTCGTTTCTTTATCGTACCAGTGTATCGTTAACGACTGCTGTCGCGAGGAAAGTCTGCCGATCGAGTTGGGCTCCCGGCCGGCACACTTTAGGATCGCCGCCGCGAGAAGACTGGCGGCATGCGGTATCATCAGTGCTGCCAACTGGAACTCTCGAAATTCTCTTACTCGCGGGAACGAACAGTGGTGCACGCGATGCTTTTAACAATTTAGCTCAGGCTGTACGTGTAACCTTCGTTTTTCATTAGTTGATATCGTATATGAAAAGACGGTGAAACGTACGAGATGAAACTGTCTCGACGTATTTCTCCAACCATCTCCAACAAATGTATAATATCGTAGTATCTGTTTTTTTTTCTCTCCTCCGTTTTACAGGTAGTCTGATTCTGTTGGAGAAGTTACGGAAGTACAAACCAAAAATCGCGGTGTTTAACGGTAAGCTCATATACGAGGTATTCTCCGGGAAGAAGGAGTTTGGATTTGGCAGGCAGCCGAACCTGGTCGACGGCACCAATACGGTAAGAGAAGGGAAGGGAACTTTTTTGTCCGAGCGAATGCGCGATAAACGTGTTGATGGTTACAGTACATGTGGGTTATGCCGTCGAGCAGCGCGAGGTGCGCGCAACTTCCGCGGGCCGCCGACAAGGTGCCATATTACGCGGCGCTGAAGAAGTTTCGCGATTACTTGAACGGGACGATCCCTCATCTGGACGAGTCCGACATCGTGTTCGCGGATTCGAAGCTGAAGAAGAAGGATCAAGATACGATCGAGGAGAAGAAGTCGGCGTTCTGCGAGGAGTTGACGGACGAGGGAGAGAGAAGGATGATGGAGGTGAACGGCGGAACGGGCAGCGTGAAACACGAGTCGAACTCGCAGATACCGGGGAAGAAGAAGAGGGGTAGACCGAAGAAGATCAAGAATCCGGAGGACCAACCGCCGCCGGATCCGGAGAAATTGGACGCGAACGGGGAGGTGATCAAGAAGCGACGCGGACGACCGAAGAAGATTCACCAGCAGCAGAAGCAGCAGGAACGCGAGATCAGGGAACGGGAACAGCAACAGCAGCAACAGCAACACCAGAGCATGGCTCATCTGGGCGACGCTTACGGATCCGTGGTACCCAATTGCTTCTCTCCGCCGAAAACGTTCGCCCACATGGCCCCGTATCCGCAGCCCATCAACGATTCCGGATACTACGGCCAGCCTATCAACGACAGCCCCTATAATATGAACGCGAAGCAGAGCCCGGTACATCTGCACCACTACAGCCAAAGCCCAAAGTCGATGTCGCTCTCGTTCACTCATTCGGATTTGTCGTCGGAAATCAACACCGCGATTTCCTCCGAGAACAACCTCGAGCCGTCGCCGTTGACTTCCCCGAGCGTCGAGCACCCGGACTTCGAGCCACCGACCAGTATCTCTCAGCAAAATATGAACAACGATCACCGCCAGTACAACCCAGCGGCCGGAAACGGCGAGAACAACCCCGGCCACCACGGTAGCCCGGGAACGCCGTCCCATCCCAGTTACACCAGTTACATGGGCTATCACGAGCAAACCTCCGAATCCCACAATCCTCATCCCCATCAGAGTACGCCGACACCGTTGAGCCAGCCTACCGACGAACACTCCCACCACTCTCATCCAACACCGCCTCACACGCATCCCCACACGCCGACACACGGCTCGATGTCGCCTCACCATCATCCGCACGAACAGTACGCCATCAAGAGGAACACCGCCGGACAGGACGTCGCCTCCAAGAGTCTCAGCGACCTCGAATCTCTAGTCGATCAGATACCGAGTATAGCCGACGGCGGCAGTCAGCGTCTTCAGCACACCCATCCGGGCATCGCCGACGACGGATCCCTCGCGGAAAAGATGGAGCCGCATCATCAGTCTTATCTGTCAGGATTCTCCGGAATGTCTAACGCGGCCATGTCCAATTACAGTCCCCCGCTGCCGCCTGGCGGCACCATCTATTCGACTTCGTTGCACCATTCTCCCAACGACGGTTACGTCTCTCTTTATGCCATGAACGGACGTCAGCATCAAGATTCGCAACAGCAGCAGCAGCAGCAGCAGCAACAGCAGCAGCAGCAGCAGCAGCAGCAGCAACAACAACAGCAACAGCAGCAGCACAGCAAGTCTTACACGGTGGAAAATCTAGCGTCTAGCAACTATACGCCGAGCATGAGCCACGGACATCCCGGTAACTCCTATCCAAACATCATTCCCGGACCTCATTATCCCGTGCCGATGGGATCGACGAACGGGTATCTTTTCGGTGGCCTCGAGTCCAGCTTGATGCAACGCACTTACGGGATGGGCGGTATGAGCGGAATGGGAGGAATGCATCCATCCCTCGGTCACATGGCCAATCCTTATTCCTACAACGGTTCGTACTCTAGTTCCTTCGACGCGTATCCAGCACCGCCGGCAGGAATTCACGCGCCTAGCGCCAATTATCCGGGCGGTTACACGAGCGTTGGTAGCGCGACGCCAGGTACTTCTACGCCACCGTCTTACCTCCCGTCTCATCACAGACCGTCGGTCGACCTCGCGTACGACGGTGTATGATAATCGATGTAAAGCTATTCGACGTACATACGCGCGTACACACGCTCGCACGCACGCCCACACACACCACGCATACAACAAACGAACGCAAACAGACACACACACATCTACCTACCTACCTGCCTACCTACCTACCTACCTTCCTACCTACCTACCTACCTACCTACCTACCTACCTACCTACCTACCTACCTACCTACCTACCTACCTACCTACCTACCTACACACCTACCTACACACCTACCTACCTACCTACCGATGATACTACCGCTACTGTTACACGTACACGCTATGCGCACTCGCAGAGACACAGAGGAGAACACACAGGTCACGAATGGACGGACGGACAGACGGACGGACAGACAGGAGACAGGCACCATGCATACACGATTCGAGCGCTACGTTTATCTTTTCTACGTATTTTTACACGTTTAGGATCGGCCAGAATGATCGTCTCACGAAACGTTTCACGGATGCTTTCTGGCGCGAACTTGCTACTACAATTTGCGCGCGCGCGTTTTCTTCCTCTTTATCCCTTACCACGAACCTTTCTTCCTTTCGTCGCGTTTTCATTCGCTTCGAATCATCTCTCTTCTACGAAACCCTCCACATCACCTGGTTCTCCCTTCCTTTCTTCATTCCGTCTGGCTCGTTTAGAACTGTTATTATTAGTATAGCCGCGAGTAGTAACGAGCGCGCGGCTCGGAACCGCGAACGAACGGAGAAGAATGCTGCCGAAAAACAACGAGGAAACAAAAAAAAATAAGCTGTTGTCGCACGTGTTGCACGAAATCAGGCTGCCTGGTATTACATAAACGCGTTCTAACAAGGTTTCGAAAGTGGCGTGCTCGAGATGCTATTCGTCTCTTTTTCGCAGTGATCGCGCATCGATCGTCTCGATAATATGGGTGGGGAAAGAAAAAAAGTACGATGTTAAAGTTTCGCTTTTTTGCGCCGTTTTGCAACGTTACTGTTACGCTTTCGTTATTGTTGAAAGATATCCAGCTGGTTTCGCATCACTGGGCCGAGCATGTGCAATATCTGTTGCTGTTTCAACGAATCGGTTACCAGTGTTACATTTCCTTCGAACGTGACTCGTCGTTGGAATTTTCGACAAAATTTACCTACTGTACGCGTCCGTATACCTATCCGTTGTTATTTTTATCATTCTTCCGTTCTTCTTTCCTTCTTCTTCTTCTTCTTCTTCTTCTTCTTCTTCTTCTTCTTCTTCTTCTTCTTCTTCTTCTTCTTCTTCTTCTTCTTCTTCTTCTTCTTCTTCTTCTTCTTCTTCTTCTTCTTCTTCTTCTTCTTCTTCTTCTTCTTCTTCTTCTTCTTTCCTTCTTCTTCTTCGTTGTACGAGAGAAATGGTAGTTGTTTAGTTTTTCTGTACGCCTCGCGTACGACTCGCGTCCACGTTATTAGCTGTAACCGTTATATATACGTATATGTACGTATATCGAGCAGTGAGATTGCTATTAAATAAGCGGTAGCATTCGGCTTTTATTCGGGCATTTTTTACGAGCCAATGGACGAAATATATCCGAATTAATGGAATACGCGTTCGCGTTCGAACACTGACCGGGGGAATTGTAGCGATGTGCTTATCGCGAAAATGTAATTGCGAAAATTGATCGAGGGTAGAGGAGTAGAGCGGTGGTTAGGTTAGGTGGTGGGTGGTGGTGGTGGTGGTAAAAAACCGAAAAATTCCGAAAAATTTGGAAATATTTTCAGTTGGTGGTGTAACAAATGCGATTTCGTAGACACGAGTGCCGTATACATCGTATAAAACGTCTATAAATGCGTTACAGACTACGTTACGTAACATCAAAGCAATAACGCGTATACGCGTGTGCACATGATTAATTGCAAACATGTATATGTTTAATGCGAATCTAGTCAAATTCGATTCGTTGAATCGTGCCGATTTATCGCAATCGACCGAATAATTTTGCGTGCGGATTAAGTTGGAAAAGAAAAACGGACCGATCGATCAGAGAGTATACCGAATTTTCGCGCGATTTCCCTTCCGCTCGTGCGTGCGTGCGTGCGTGCGTGTGTCTATGCGTGGGACAAAGGAGAGACCAAATCAGTCGTGTAATTGAAGCTAGCCGATCGTGGACTAAATTTCACCCTTTCGTCAGTCCAATACTTTGATATTGATCGCGTATCCTTACCAGCCCCGCAGCTTCTCCTTCGTAGTATGTGTTACGGTTTAATATTCTGCGCAGATTACGGGTTAAAAGGAGGTTTACTTACTGCTCAATTTGCTTTCGTAAATGATAGGTATGTAAATGTCTTACCTACGTAAGTACGTACGGACCGAGCCACGCTTTTCCAATCAATCCTGTCGATTATCACAATTCACCGCCTCTTTCTCCAATGTTCACGGAACGAATAATCGTAGATCGAAACATCCCTCGCCTCCTCCCCACTCTCACCGTTTTTCCCATTTCCAAGGCAAAATATCGAAAACGTCGAAAGGTCTCTCCCTGTTCCCTGCCCCTCCGACACACGCACACACACACTCTCTCTCTCTCTCTCTCTCTCTCTCTCTCTCTCTCTCTCTCTCTCTCTCTCTCTGTCTCTCTCTCTCTCTCTCTCTCTATCTATCTATCTCTCTTACTTGAGTCAGTGAGTGCGCATCGATCGAACCGCGAAAACGTTCGAGCGTAAGGAAAACGAAACGGAAGAGGGATACGTCGCGAAGAAAATCTCGAAAATATATCTGGATAGTGTCGATTCGGTAGGCATCCTCGCTTTCGTACCTCGCACTCGCTACAGCCATAGCCATTCTCGTTACAATCTGTTTGTCGGTTAATTGTTGACTCTGTCTCTCTCTGTCTCTTTCTCTCTCTCTCTCTCTCTCTCTCTCTCTCTCTCTCTCTCTCTCTCTCTCTCTCTCTCTCACCGCTGTGAAATATCATAGGTTACCGTGATTTTTATAGTTATCGTGTTATGTTGTCTCGTTAATTGTATATTTCATTGCTACGTGTTCGAGCAATCAAGGATTACAGTGTTTATCGATACACGATCACAAACAGTCGATGTAGACGTAATGCCATAACCGACATCCTCTTTTGTCGTTAATCGACGCTGTAAAATTGCGCATCTGGCATGATTGTATGCAACAGCAACAACAACAAAAAATAATAATAATAATAATAATGATAAGAAGAAGAAGAATAACGATAAATATATGCACGCGTACTCGTACACGAACGTGCGTAAGAAGGAAACGAAGAAGAAGAAGAAGGAAGGAAGGAAGGAAGAAAGAAAGAAAGAAAGAAAGAAAGAAAGAAAGGGAAAACTGTATACATTTTTGCGGACGCATACGCGTGCGTATACTTATAGAATATACATACAAAGTATAAATATTATATATTGACTATCTACGGTAAGCGAGAAACATTTATCGAGTAATCACATAGGATGTGTTGAAACATTTAAAATGATGCACAGGGTATAGATGAGAAAATCGTTGATATAATAACTGATGTCTATATAATGAATGTTTCTTTTGTTCTATCGGCCTCAAGGACACAAAGCGCGTACGATCGACAATTAATCTATGGTAGATGTTTTTCAGCATCCATTCCGATTCAGACGGGGGGACAGTTCTAGTATAAGTGTCGTCGGTGTTAATCGTTCGTCGATAATGAAACGAAACGAAACGAAAGGAGGGAAAAAGAAAAGAAAAAGAAAAAGGAAAAGGAAAAGAAGCAGGGAAGCGGAAATGAAGGCATGCCGTGACGAAAGGAACGAACCATCGCTACGAATTAATCGAATCAATCGATTGTAAATTGATCGCTAAGGATTAATTATTAAGTATAAATATATATTATACAGATTTAAGTGGTTTCGCTGTTGATATCGTATCGAAATAAAAAAAGGAAAAAAATATGAAAAAGGGAGAGGAAAAGGTGAAAACAAAGAGAGGAGAAAATTCGAGCGTAAGCGAGTAAGAGAGCTTGGGCCAAAATCGGCCTCCGACATATTTTTTAATCGCTTCGAACCTCTAATTATTCTTACCTTATAACAAACTTAACGGTGTATTAAACTTAACGGTGTGAGTGTCCAGCCGACCGATCGATCGATCGATCGACCGATCCGTCGATTCCTAGCCGAATAAGACACGGTAATCGACCGCTCGCTCGCTCGCTCGCTTTTACCTTAACCACTTCTCTGTCGCCATTGTCATTAACAGTATCATCGTATCGATCGCTCGGGATTATCGAGATGTGTTCTATATCGACCGACCAATGTACTTGCCGAGTATTTCTAGCTGTTCGTGCATCGCGAGAAACAGGGGCGACGCGAATCTTTTATCCTTTTTTTTTCTTCCTCCCTCCCTCCCTCCCTTACTTCGCCCTACCCTCTTCTCACTTGTTAGATCAACGATCCCCCCCCCCCCCCCCCCCTCTCCACGCTGGCAAATCGATTCGCGACGATCCTTCAGACGCTTCCACCATTTTTCACTTCCCCTCCCCCGCCCTTTTCTAACCTTCTTTCTTTCTTTTGCCGGATCGAATCGGGATTCACAGATTTTCCACGTAATTATCGAACAAAAGGAAAAGAGAAGGAAGAAATAAGAAGAAAAAGATTCGATCGTTCGTTCGATCGATTAGCAAGAGGGTGAAACCAACTCTCGATAGAAAGTCCTCGATTCGCAAAGGGTTTGGTGGATTGTTAACGGTGGATAGAGGGAGGAACGGTAGGGATATTCGAGTCGCTCGTATTTTCCTCTATGATCGTTCGAACGAAAAACAAATCGATCGAACCAAGATAATGCTGAATCACAATTGTTTCGAATTGAGAAACGTTTTACCACCGTCTCGTCTCGTCTCGTCTCTTCTCTTCTCTTCCTGCATTCCTAATCCTTCTTTTATTCGTTCGCGACGTTCAAGGTATACACGAAAACTTGATCTATTACATACGTAATGCTCGTCCGATGAAACAAGTCGATGCACGCGTAACGATTATTAAACGTACTATATAACTATAGCTGGATTCGTAACTCTGAATGTATACGTATTATTGTGCATTGCGTTGTTAGCCGTGGAAGTCGATCGGTTATCCAACGATTTACTTTTTACCAACTGTGCGCACGCGACTTGTTTCGATCGTTGACTCTTGTTTTTAATCGAGTGTGCGTGCGATCGTCTCCCTGTTGCCAATCAACCGTACCTTTTTCCCTAGTAACGCGTCTCGCGTGTCTCTCACCTCCCTCGAGGAAAGGGAAGATCGCCGCGTGTAGTCGATTATCGATGTCGAACTTTACCAATTACACAGACTCGAATATATATTCAGTTTGCAATACCGATCGTCACACCGATTTCCTACAGTTCCATGTTCGCATGACTGCCTGCTGCCTGCGTACAGTATCTGTACGTATACGTGAAGCTTAAACAACAATTCCAGATATCCTTGTGCGAACAAAAACGTTCGAAAGAATCTTTCAATCCTTCCAAGTCTTTCTAAAAGTTACGCGTTGAAACGCAGGGAATTTAACAAATCAAAAGAAGAAGAAAAAACGAACGAACAAACGATTAATTCCAAATAAATTTCTTTATTCTTATATTCGATGTATTTCGCTCAGCGTTGATATATGCTGATATTTTCATGCTTCGATTACGAAATCGAGAGAGATTCGCAATGTTTTTTGCACTAAATTACATCGTGAAATTCGGAAATAAAATGTTTGATATAACAGTTGTATATTAACCACCGTCACAAAAATGCGACTTCAAAGTTTGCCGGACTAACGTAGAAAATCGACCACGTGAACTATTATTTCGGGTTATCCATACTCGTTGTCAGTTTCGATTGTTTTGACAGGCGAACGTAAGAAAAGCAATTTATGGTATCCAATCCTTCCATCAACGGTAAATCTTCATTGGTCTGTCCCTCCTCGTCCCCATCCCGCCCTCCCCTTCCTTCCTTCCTTACGATCCTATTTAATGTCTTTTCAACGATCATATTGCAATCAGTTTCGTTGTTACTGTCCAAAAATAATTGCAACGATGTTATCGAGAGGAGAATGATTAGTGTCGCGCAAAACCATAGTTAGAGAGAAAGAAATACCGAAGTCGCCAGTGTGCGTTGAATTGTGTGGTACGTGAATGAATGAAATCGCATTATGCAATACTTCTTGTAAATTTTAAATATAACGAATCCTGTGGAGACACTTTTCTCTTTTTGGACTCACTTTACCTGAGTCATTGGCAGTTTGTGTCAAGAAATAAATTGATTCGTTAAAAGAAAATTATTATAATGTGTTTATTATTTTCAGAAACTTGTGTATTTCTTGTGAAGATATACACGCTTTTGCCAAGTTCACGTTTCACTTCTTCTTCATTCAAAACCTAATTATTCTTCGATCATTTATCGTAGCAATATTCATTCATGAAAAATCCTCCCAACAATTTATTCTGCCATCTACCGAGCGACTGTGAAATGTACGCTTTCGCCTTTCCTCTATGTGTAATTTACTTCGTGCTTCGCAAAGCACAAAGTGTCGGTTCATTGTGTTTATCGGTACTGTAACTGTACTTTCAATTTATAATGCCGCTAGAAAATTTAGAAGAAGAGGGTTTGGAGAAAAATCCGAATTTGGAATTAGCTCAAATTAAATTTCTATTGAGCTTGCCGGAACACAAGGATGATCCCTTTCTAAAGAACAAACTGTTAGATGCCATTAAAGCAGAAAGTGAGATTGCACTTTTTTCCTCAAATTTACTCTTTCGTTCGTTATTAATACGATACAGAGTTTAATGTATAACACGTCAAATGTTTCGTATTAAAGATCTCTTTGATGCTTTTATAGAAGCGAACATTTTTTAAATTACCTTAACCCTTTTTACCCTAACCTCTTTAGAAATTTTACCCTTATCTGGACGTACTTTTAATTTTATAATTCTCTCATTCATTATTCACAACTATTCTTTATTCGCGTCGTTGTTCGATAATCTTGGTTTAAATTCGATTAACTCGACCAAATGAATACGTCGTTCATATTTATCTTTGCATATGAAACAAATTGGAGTAAACGGGGTGTTTTAAAGTGTATAATTACTTTTCCTAGACATGGCTCCATTTTACGAAGAGGTCTGTAAAGACTTGGATTGGCCGGTCGACGATACTCTTTTGTCCACTATGAAAGCTAAGAACATGGAGCAACTGAAAGAATTGGACGATGCGATTGAAGATGCTGAGAAAAATTTGGGAGAAATGGAAGTTAGAGAAGCCAATCTTAAAAAATCAGAACATCTATGCAGAATAGGAGACAAAGAAGGTGCCATTTCGGCATTCAGAAAAACTTACGATAAAACTGTATCGTTAGGTCATAGATTAGACATTGTGTTTCATAACATTAGAATTGGATTATTTTATTTAGATCACGATCATATTACTAGAAACATAGAAAAAGCCAAAAGGTATGGAAATATTGGAACGTAAAATTCATTTCACAATGGTGGTATGTGTTAAATATGCAGAGGAATACGAATATCTTCCTTTTGTTTCAGTTTGATAGAAGAAGGTGGTGATTGGGATAGACGAAATCGTTTAAAAGTCTATCAAGGAACATATTGTATAGCAGTACGTGATTTTAAAGAAGCTGCAAATTTCTTTCTGGATACAGTTAGTACATTCACAAGTTACGAACTTATGGATTACAATACATTTGTGAGATACACAGTGTATTTAAGTATGATAAGTTTGCCTAGAAATGAACTTAGAGATAAAATTATCAAAGGTTCAGAAATTTTGGAAGTGCTTCATAGTAATCAAGATGTCAAAGATTACTTATTTTCATTGTATAATTGCCAATATGCTGACTTCTTTAAGAATCTGGGTATTAACAAACTTTATTCAACCGTTCAAACTTTCGTGTGAAATAATCGATGTTATTATGTAGTAATGTAGAAATATGTTTTTAGCCCATGTCGAAGGTTTATTACGCAGGGATTATTTAATCTTCCCACACTATCGGTATTATGTTAGGGAGATGCGTATTCTCGCGTACACGCAACTTCTCGAATCTTACAGATCATATATATTTATATATAAATATATTATTATTTCGATTATTTCTTACAGAGAGGTGTCGCGTTTCATCGCTGCAGGAAGATTGCATTGCAAAGTTGATCGCGTTGGCGGCGTAGTTGAAACTAACAGACCGGACAGTAAAAATTGGCAGTATCAAGCAATGGTCAAGCAAGGAGATTTGCTGCTTAATAGGGTTCAGAAATTATCGCGTGTTATTAATATTTAATTATACAAAAAATAAATCATAATGATTTAACATTAAATCTTTAGACCTACTTATTATCTTACGCGTGCTTGAAAAGCTTAAAATTCTTTTATATTACCCTCGATTTTAGTTTTGTATGAAAGATTTTTAATATAATTCCCGATATTTACGAAAGAAATACATATATTAATTGTCATCCATCATCAATTCTACGTCTCATTATCCTCTTCCTTAAGCTCCGAATTACATCCTTGACACGTTTGTCGTACAATACTACGGAGTTTGAAATGAAAATTCTAGACTGCAACGGTTTTATCGGCTTTTTGAATGCTAACAACATTAGTCACCTTTCGACATTAGTCGATACTGAAACATTCTGAAGATCGTTCGTTATACACACGACGGTGTCTAAAAGTGCATTATTTTTTTCATTATTTCTAAATTAGAATTATTTCGGTTGAAATAATTCTACGTGTATATGTTATTTCTATAACGCGTGTCAAATACTTCAATCATATTTCTAGAAATTGAGAAAATAAAGAATTTATTGCAAATGGGTCGAAGAAAAAGTAAACGACAAGCTCCACAAAGGAAAAAGGCTATCGAACCTATGGATATACAATTTACGTGTCCATTTTGTAACCACGAGAAATCGTGCGATGTTAAAATGTAAGTTCAGTGCATCGTGTAATTGCTAAAACGTATATTGTTTGTAACATTTCATAATAATTTTAGGGACAAAGGCAGAAATACAGCAAGAATTTCATGTCGAGTTTGTTTAGAAGATTATCAAACTAGCGTTAATGCATTATCGGAACCAATTGACGTGTATAACGATTGGATTGACGCGTGCGATGCTATTAATTAATTGTTTCTATCATCACATATTACAATGAAATTCAACGTGCCTTTTTATATCATTGACTTACCTTATGGGCTCATATTTAATATTAAGAATCTGTTTTAATTGTAACAGTAACGATATTAAGAAAACTGATATGAATGACATTATTAACACGTGACTAAATCTAGTTTTAGCAAAAATTACATTAATTAAATAGTTCGTCTTGTTGCAAATAAACTTTGTCAATGAAAGATGTTAAAGGACAGAAACATATTTTTAAACGGATAAGAATAAAATCAGATTTCTGAGAATAAAGAGTTTCAAATTTCCTCACATCTACACAATTGCACAATAGCATAGTCGTGCTATGTTTTAATTGATATCTATACCGCTTGTTTCTATTAACAAAATTTTGCCATTGTTTAATCCTTACACCGGTAGGTTTGAAATACGCGCTGTGTTCGAGTTTCTAAAGAACAAGAGTGACGTGATTTCACGTTGTTATTCGATGTTCACCAGCTGATAGAAGATAAGCAAACACATTAGGAAATTAGTCAGTTTTTGAATTGATCCTAAAGTTATTATTGTAGATAGTGTACGAACTTTCCTATTAAGAAACGTAGTAATTACATTTTTCTTGCTTTTTTGTACCAAGGCAAAAATTTGTACATAAACTAATCTAGTTAATTATCTTCGGAACAGAGGTATTGGTGATATGTTAAACCTTGCATGATATCGGCCTTATAAACGTCATCGTCCAAAAATATCAAAAGACTTGTCGAGTGGAGATCGATCAGTGTTCCATTGTAAAAGTCAAACTTTCTAATTTGATTTAAAATTGTACGCAATATCATCGTAATGGATAAAGTAAAGCCGCGAAGTGATCGCTGGAAACTACCACGTAGACGTAGTATGGATGATTTTCTTTATGAAACCTCACGTTTTCAACTTCCCAATTTTAAAGATTTAGAAAAATGGAGTAACAGAGTTGTGAATAATCTTGTATATTATCAAACCAATTACCTCTATATTTGCATTGCAATTACACTTATTGTCTCGTAAGTATACTGGGAATATTGAAAATATCTTTTGATAAAATTTCATTTATTTTGTATACTTGTCATTATTTAGATTACTGCATCCAATGAAGATGATGATTGGTGTAATATCGATGATGGCAATTTGGGGTGAATGTGCTTACTTATTTAGCGAAGACGAAGCATTGCTTGACTTCAAAAAATCTTATCCCCAAGTTGGGATAGTTATTGCTGTTATTTTTGGATCCTTTGTTGTTTACACTATAAATTCACTTCTTTTCGCATTATGTGGTGTTTTATTGTCGCTTATTGGTAAGTTCTTTCTACCTTAATATACTCCTTTTATCTTCGTACACATATAAGCAGCAAAATTAATTCAAAGAGTGTAAAAATGGATAATTGCAGTGCATTAATATAATAATGTTGTTGATGTTTTAGTAATTCTGATACATGCATCATTAAGATTAAGGCATATGAAGAATAAGATTGTCAATAAGATCGAGGGTATGGGATTAGAGCGTACACCAATGGGCATTATCTTAAGCTATATTGGTATGAAAGAAGAATCTTTTACATAAATTTCTATTAATCAGATGTTGAAGAAAGATATACTTTTGTATGTACTTTCATTACTATAAGTATATATATACGACTATATGTATATATACCTATATGTTACTTACCCATACATTTATGACATTTAAGAATGCTTATCATTAAGCTTTGCCTTGTTGCTCTTAAAAATAGGAAAACTTTATTTTTTATCTATTTCAATGTTGAAACTTTATGTGAAATGCAACTTAGGAAATATACTACAGTGTTGTGGCTTGTGTGATATACTCTCCTTTAAAATTAATACAGATATTACCTTGTAAACAATTATTTGTAACAGAATGTTTATGTATGTATTTTGTAAATATTGAAAAATAATTAATGCTGATGATTGTTGTAGGATGTATGTGGTCTGCGATCTTACAAGGTTAAATTTAGTTAATAAACATGTATGATA